CCTTCTCGGCCGCTACGCTCCTCCATCGAACGCCGCCTGGCTCTGCCATCCCTTCTTGGTCCCTTTTCTCATATTTGACACCACAATGGTGGAATGAGCAACCAAAAAATCTTGAAAACTCATCTCTTCAGAGAAATCACCTCTAACATGCACTTGCATGACTACGTCAACTTCTTTTATACAGTCTATGGTCCGAATACACTTTTGCTAGTTTAACGGTGGCAGAATGGTCGACACGTCTGGCGCATGGTTCAGGAGTCCTGTACTTAGTCTCTTTGTTAATCACGGGTGTGTTTTGGGTGTTACATTCAATATACCAATGAGAGCGTCACTTATATTCCCTTTAAAAGCACAAGATATTGACTTATTACTATTATCTGTCCCTCATGTCCAGACTGAAATGAGAAAAGGGGCGTTTCAGTATCTCTGTGATTGGAATCAGCTGCAAAATGTCCTGAATCTTCAGGAGCCGGTTTCACTGCTTTCAAAGTGCTTTTAAATGACATGGAGGCTGGCAATTCTGGCTGTAGATGTTATGACTGATTACTCTGATGATCCTGGTTGTTTATTACTTTTGGTAAAAATTTATGGAAGTTTAATATTTTACGACCTTGTAACTCATTACTTATTTTTACTTCTTTATATTGTTATATGTTTTATGTTTTAATGTCTGCAACCTTGTTAATTGTGCTGCTGCCTGTCTTGGCCAGGACGCTCTTGGAAAAGAGATTTTAATCTCAATGAGTTTTTTCTGGTTAAACAAAGGTAAAAAAAAAAGCCAGACAGGCTTGTACCTTGGCACATTGCTATTATAGTGGTGGATTAATGGTGCAAAATAAAAACATAATAAAACATGAATACATTTTCTTTATGATTAGAGAGGCTGCTCTCAGTGTATCCAAATCAATGACATTACGTTGCTGTGCCTGAGTCTCTCAAGGCCACCCGAGATGCGAGCTTGAGGAGTCGAGGAGTAGACGCAAGGAGGGAGGAGTCAAGGAAACAGGCATCTAAGGAATCACTTTAAAGCCTAGTTCACACAACACGATTTGCCACTCGGCGGGCTCGGTCACCATCAGGCTGTGATCAGGGGTAAATCAGCGATCAATCTGCGGTCGCCAGTCATTATGTGTGAACTACTCGACACATCAAAACGGCTCCCGACACATTTGTGACACAACGCTGACGTCTGCCAGATATCTAGCAGCAGATATCTGGAGGACTCGTCCGACTCGACATCCACATCCAGCCAATGAGAGCAGGCGGCTACTTTTTCACTGCAAAACACTTTTTCCTCCCCTGCAGCTCTCTGTAGCTCAGACGATCCCTGCTACCTGCTGATCCAGTCTTTCACCCAGATTCTTTGTCTTTAGAATTTCTATCTTTATAATAACAACCAGCTGTTTCATGTGCAGGTCGCGCCATTTCATGTTTCACATTTCACATGTGTTTTCTTGACAAAATGTGGTTTGGAGACCAGCGTCGGGTGATACAGCCGTGGTCAGCTCGTGTAGTGAGGGACCCCTTGTCACCGATCAGTCACGTAGTGTGAACGTCACAAGACGGCAATTTGTAAAGTGTGAACTGCCATCGGCCGACACTGAGAGTCATGTAGTCTGCACGAACCTTATGTCTGTTAAATCTGACCTGTTGCACAGCTGCATCATCTGTCAGAGCAGCAGAGCAGCTGTCGGCTCTAAAGGCTGCAGATCGTTTCTTCACTATCCAGAAACATGTCTTTCAACATTATAACACATAGAAACATCTCGAGCTTCCAATAAACATCTGTTGACAACAGTGAGATCACAGCAGCCTCATCGTTCACTGCACAGAAACACAGTCACTTTTTTAAAAATGATTTCAGCCCTCAGTCTGACGAGGAGAGAGTTTCATCATCAGTCCCTGAATAAAAGAAGGTAGTAACATTTATCTCATATAGCCCCAAATTAAAACCACAGTCACCACAGGACTCTATTGTTGGAATGACCTGTTCAGACTAAATGGGCTATTATTATAACAGGAAACACAGCAGGTCAGGTCTGAACCCTCTGGTTGATATTACAGCATAATAATTTGACTTCAGCAGCTGAGTGCACTGTTTTGTCCATTGCTCGCTGTAGCTTTCTTGTGTTATATTGATGTACTATGAGTGTTTTCGAGTGTTTACGATTTACTTTGATGATCAGAGAGGCTGCTGTCAGTCATTTAAACATTTCCATCTGTGCAGTAAAGTCACAGCAAATATCCTGGGACAAAACAGAAAAAACCTGCAGTAATAAACTTGACAGGACAAAGAGGAAACAGAATGAAACTTTCAGCTTCTATAATCACGTTTAGACTGTGATGGAGCTCAGAACTGATCAGGAGGACGGCTGCTTTACTCCAAACAGGTTCACTGGATGAACATATACTGTGTGTGAGAGCTTCAGGATGTGCAGAAGAACACAGAACATGAATTAACATTAGATCAGTGTGTTGGGAGATTTAAATATTAATTTATGTTGCTGTGGCTCGTGCGTACATGCGCACAGTGTCAGTGGAGAGACGCTTCATCAGGTTCATTTCTACGATCCTGCTGGCAATCATCACAATCAGCAACATCAGTAATTTCAAAGTGAAGGAATGTGGTTAGAACAGAAATTCAGGAGGCGCTACACAAACAGTGAAGGGCAGAAATCTGATCATGCATGTGACCACTTTAAATAACTAATACAACTCATGAGTACAACAAAAACTCTATAAAGTCCTGCTCCAGCCATGAGTTGGTCCAGCTGCATGTCACACCTCTTCTTAACATGACAGTGGCTGAAAAGACTTCTGCAAAGGATGCACCGGTGTATCCTCCCTTTATAGCTCCTCCAGCAAGCCTCCTCGCTCCTAGAGGTCCATTTTAGGAATTGAGATGTCCTTCAAGATGGCGAGCTGAGATCGATTTCAGGGTCACAGGCTTGAGGATTGAGGAGGCACATTTTGGGAAATGAGAAAGGCCCATAGAGACACCTGCGGATAGCTAAACCAGGAAGTGTCACAAGACGCATCTAAACCAATCACGTTATAAGAAACTGCCGCTAGCCAATCACATTTGAGCTTAAATCCGCGTCTGTACTTTTACGATTGGCTGCTGGTAGAAAGGAAATGACCATATTTGGATCCGACAGCATTGTGCTGTAGAGAGAGAGATTTCCACAACTACTAAATGTATATTTCAGACTTTTTACCCCCACTAGTATGAAAGAAGACATGTTGGGGAGTCAAAGTTGTCCAAAATCTTAAAATTGACCAATGCATAGAAAAACAAAGTTTTTGCCTGCTGTGTCTCACCTTAATGGGGTGCCTCTTACTATCTGAATAATCCTCCCTTTAAATATCAGGAAAGTGCAATTGACTTTAGACCGATTTTGTTGGTCAATGGCTCCATTGCTTTCTGCTGCCTTGAGATAGCAATGTGCCAACAATGCGCCTATCCACACTTCAGTTTAAGACCAACACTCCCATTGCGCACAGATTTTTCATTTTCCTGCCCAGCGCCTTCATTGTTTAAATAGCGAAGGCGCTGGGCAGGAAAATGAAAAATGCATCTGTTGTTTAAATATGCGTATGTAGGAAAGTTTCTGCTAAGCCTTGGTTGAGAGACTCATTACCAGCATGGGCATTACGCTTCCTCCACAACTCAGCTCCTCAGCCAGCAACAGCATTTGACTGTCCAGCCTTCAGCTGGTCCTGACAGCTCAGGGGTGTCGGGAACCAGATGTGTGTTGTCGCTGCTTGCAAGCTAGGATCCACAAACCTGGTTCCTGGTCTGCAAGTGCTTTGGCGGTGGTCCGATTGACACCTGCTCCTGGTTCCTTGTTGGTGGACTGTTGCTGGTCCTGCCCCCATGTCCAGTTGACGGTTTGGCCAACTCCTGACACGCCTAAGCTGCTGCAGACCCCTCACCCTGCTGCCGAGCCTCAGCAGCTATATGATTCTGCCAACGTACAGCTAATCCTCTGCTCAAGTTGGGCTGCAGTCACCCTTTGTTCTCCCTGAATTACAGCAATGCCCTATCCCTGCCTTCCCCCTGAAGACTGCCCCTTTAAAGCTGCCACTGACTTTGACCCCTGACTCACCTGAACAGCAGCAACTGTCCCTTACCTTTGAACACTTGCAGTCCCCATCTACCGCTGTGCTTCAGGAGACAATCATTCCGGATCTGTGCCTCCAGACTTGGCTCTGCCTCCTTCCCCTGACTTTGTTCCACTAAAGCATCCCCTGAATGGTGGGAAGCAGCTGCCTGCCACCACTGAGTTGCAGCCCCATTCAGACTTGGCAGTGCCTCAGCAGCCCCTTGCTTCCTTGGCCCCTATTGGCTTTCCAGCCCTGCAGTCATGTCTCTGGTTCCCAGTTCTCCTGCCCCAGACAGGGGACTGAACTGTTCAGTCCCTCTGTTCTGTCCTTGGCCAATCCATCTGAGTCTCCCCGCCTGATCGGCCTGGGTCGGCGCGGCTTTGCTTCTGAATTGTGCCGGGTGTTTGGACCCCGATACTTAGTTTTAAAATGAAACTATATATTTGTGAGGACTTTTTAAAGAGTGGCGTCTTCAGTAGGAACCAATGGGCTTTGTAGCGACAAGCGGCCCTTCTGCAAGGAAACCCCGCTCTCTCGGGTCACCAACTCCGGGGCCCTTAGCGCATTATGACTTCAGATAGCACTCAGGAAAAAGGGCCACCTCTGATAACGAGCTAGTTTCAGTACTAGGTACTGGCCTGAGCGTCTGTACTGAATGTCTGACTCCAGATTCAGAAGTTTCCTGGTCAGCCACTTCACTCCTCTCTCACTTTAGGTTGCAGAGAGTAGGGCCCTGAACACATCACCTGGAAGGAGTTCCTTAAAGGAGCAGTTTGCTGCTGATCTGTAGTGAGCTGTGTTAATGTCGGCAGTGTGGATGTTAAAGTAGAAGAATACTAACTTACCAGTCCGGAAGAGGAGGAAGAAAATGAAGACAAAAAGAGACGAAAAACTCTTTCTAGTTTCTTCAGCCGTGCACCCAAAGAGAAACTGATTTATTTTCAACAAATGCAAAAACAGAAGCCCCCAAAAGTTCCCCCTTTTTCTCCTCTTTCGCCCCTTCTTTATTTTCCCCTAATTCTTCTTGAGCTCTGGGGTCAGCAACTGAAATAATAATGGGCAGGAAGGACCTCAGCCCTTTTCCAAACGTTCATAGGCTGCTATAAGTTAGCCATCACACTGATTGGTTCTTACATTCTGACCTCACATCCTTCCTCTTCTTTATAGGTACCGTACACTTCCTGCCAGTAGTTGCAACACCCCTTTGCTCTCGTCACAAATGAACAAGAAAAATATAAAACGCATCATGTAGATTCAACAAACTGTGATTGTGTAATCTTCTCATTTCCAAAGCATCCAGAACAGATACAGCAGGTCTCAGTTTAAAAACAAGACTAAAGGAGCATTTCTTCTCTTCTACATCTTAAATGCATCACACAAATGAAAATCACACACAAGAAGCAGAAAAGACATCAATCATGGGTTGTCACCATCTTTTTAAAGAAAAACCTTCCTTCTGTTCTTTAATCTCAAAATGATGTTGCTTTCATTTTCACAGTGGCTGCTGACGTTTAGGCAAATAGTGCCTTCTTTCCTGATTAAAATGATTATCTTGATGTCATCAGGGAATGCATACATGAGACGTCCTTACAGAAGACAAGTCTTAACGTTGACTAAAAATGATAGAAGCGTAAAAAGTAAAACTCTTGACCTTCCCCTCTGCATCACACCTTTTTTCACACCTCCCCTCATGTGCGCTAGATACACAAATGCGTCGTCAGGGACGCTTTAGCTTTTGGTTTAATTTACAGCAAAAGAGTGGACCTTAGCTTCATCTGTACTGGAAACTAGCGTTATTTTGAGACTTGAGACATGTCTGTCCGTACCCAGACAAAGGTTTCTAGAGGCAAAGATGAGGTCCGGCACAAGAGATGCAGAGATACAGGACTTATTAAAGAAATAAAGACAGCATCTCAAATTAAACATCTTTCTTCAAATGTTCTACTTTTGTAATATGAGCTCAGCAGTTAACCATTATCACTCTGAAGGCAAATCATGTTACTATATGGCTTTAAATGTGTCAGGCAGTCAAACTGTGTCTGTGAAGGCCCCCAAGAACCAGAACCAGAGGCTTATCCATCATATAAAAGAGTAAAATCCTGGACTGAGCTGATGGTGGGTTGTGAGGCAGCTGAGATGAGCTCCTTGGAGGTCCTACTCTGCTCCCTGAGCTCCTTCCTCTTCAGTCGGCCCTCCTTCAGCTGCACAAACACCCGGGTTATAATAATCCAGCTCGATGTCCTCCTGCCTGCCCGGCTTCTGCCCCCTGCTGGCCTGGAGAGACATGACAGCACACACATGTGAGTTAGTGCATCACTCCTCCTCTTCTTCAGGTCAGTAAACACAGAGCGAGTGCTTCATCTCAGGCCTCTAAACAACAGACGTGTGTCAGTACCTTACGGTAGAAACAAAGGGCAGCGATCACCAACAGCAGAGTCAGCGGCAGGACGACCACTTTGATGAGAAGACCTGTTGGATCTGATCAAACACATGGACAGACATCACATCACACACCATCATGAGTCCATCAGCTCCCATTAAACACAAACTGTAGAGACCTGAAATCTCCCAAAACCACTTCAGTCCGTCAGGAATCTCTATCAACACATATCTGAACGCAGAATCTGGAGAAACAAGCAGAGCCGTCGCAACCAGAGAAGAAGTTCAACTGCCTAAAGCCTCCAGCTGAAAGGGGGTCCTCGAGAAGGGCTGATTATGTAGGCCTACTTAATCCACAGCAATGACACCTGTATTAGCACCTTTTAAATACTATGATCAGTCGTAAGCCGGAATTCCCCTAACGAGGCCCCGCCCACTAGTTTGCAGCGTAGAAACCTCATGTGTTCATATAGTTGTTGTCCTCCTGGTCCGTCTGTCTGCTCTGTAAAGACGACATCTGTTTCCTGCCTGTCTGATCTAAAGGGGGGTCTCTCCTCTGCTGATCCTCCTGATGCTTCTCCTTTTTGTGGAGTTTGTTTATCTGGATCGAGGCTCTAAGGACAGAGGGGGTCCTTTGTTGGACTGATTATAAAGCCCTCTGGGTAAGAATCTGATTCTGGCCTGTAGAAATAAAACTGGACTCTGGTGAGACTTGTGTATGTGGCCTGACATGTGGGCGTTTCCCTACCACACTAGGATGCAGGACCTCTGCATCTCTGAGTGGGAGTTAAACATGCTCAGTTTACTGACTCCTGTGAGTGCTGTAGCTCCATGCTAATAACTCTGCAAGTCCACAGACCAGATGGCTTCAGTTAGTGCTAGCTGGGGGGACATGGTGGAGGACTCTGATCCTCACAAAATGCAAAGTGACGAACACGCCGGGCACGGCACTGACACAATCAAAAACATCTATGTTAGCTCAGTTTCCAGTGAGTTGCGCCCTCAGGGCCACCGTACATGACAGCAGTCACAGTGTCATTTTCAGTCAGTTTGGACGGATCATCTTTTCCAAAGCTGCATGGAAACAGTCAGTGTGACGTTTCAGCTGCTCTGCTTCAGCTTACCTGAGACAGTGAGAGACAGCCGACGGCTCTCAGAGGAGAAGTCATGAGAAAAAACATGGACGTGATAAACACAGCTGTAGCTTCCTTGGTGGGCGGGCTCTGCGGCAGGAAACAGGAAGTGGGCAGAGTGATTGACAGCTGGCTGGGTGTAGTTGTGTGATGTGTTGGAGGAGGTGAAGGCGAGCTGGAAGGAGCCTCCTGGGTACTGTGGCTGGATGGAGCAGCTGATGGTGAAGTTGGAGCCCCTGGACACCTGAAAGCCCTGCTGCTGGGCCTCGGTGAGCCCGTCCACGGAGGAGGACGCAGAGATGTTGGGCTGAAGCAGCAGGTCTGTAAACACAGATGATGAAAGGTCACATTCACCCTCCGTTCAACAAAATGGCCCCTGAAGAAGGAAGTGATGTCACAGGTCTGACACGGGTAACAAACATGGAGCAGAGCGATGACAGACTGTAAAAGGAGGGACTGGATCCACCTGGTGGGACGTCCCCAAACACAGAGACAGACAGACAGACAGGTTCCTCCAGGTGTGTCCTGTCAGGTGAAGCTTCCAGAAACAAGCCCACCTCTCTACACTTTAGGACGTCACTGTCCTGGAGAACTTTACAGTTCAGTCCAATGGAAACCACTGAGACACTGAGACAGAGGAGAGGACACACTGGAGACATTACTGTCATACATGATGTCATACATGATGTCACTGATGGGCTTACCTGAGCAGGTGAGATCCACGATGGAGGAAGAGGAATATGATGCTGCACACTCCTTCAGAGCAGATCCAGACTGAACACAGTCAGACCTGATCAACCACACAGGTCTGACTGAGGACTCCTCTCTCTCTCCTACAGAAACAGCAGAGCCACAGTCCAGCTCTCTACAGACACCAGCTGCTGTCTCCAGGGTCCAGCCAGATTCAGAGACAGAGACAAAGAGAGGGTAACCCACTGGTCTCCAGTCTCCCTGTTTCACCTCCAGTGTTCCTGCACAGCGACTGGCTCCTCCCACCAACCTGACAGGCTCTGAACAGAAACCAGAGAGTCATCAGTAAAACATTAAAGTGAGTTTCATCAGAAGAGAAATGAAGCAAATCAAAGCTGCAGCTCCTCTTCTACCTGAGCAGGTGAGTCCAACAGCTTTTCCAGGTGAGCAGGTGTTTCTAGCGGAGTCTGAGCTTCTACAGTCCAGGAGAGCAGACTCATGGCCTCCACACTGGAACTTTTTGGTCCACATCGGAGCCTCCACTTCTCCATAGAGCGCCCCCTGGAGGACTGAAGGAGCCCCACAGCCAAGCTCCCTACAGACCACCTCTGCATCCTGCTGGTCAAAGTCAGCTTCACACACTGAGGACCACCTCTGGTTAGACTTCACCTCCAGTCTGCCTGAGCACAGACTAGTCCCGTCCAGCAGCCTGACAGAGTCTGGAGAGATGATAGAAGATGAAATAGAGATAAAGACAGCAGACACAAAAGAAAAACATGTCATGAAACAACAATTCAGTGATTCAAGGTGGACTCAGCACAACTCCAACATCAGTTCATCATTAACAACAGAACACATCTTTCTACCAGCACAGACTGCAGCAAGTTCACCAGCACATTTCCATTTAATACTCTGTCACACTTGTTCTCCACGTCTGAACACTTTCAACATGTTTCCAAACAACAGCACAACATCATCATCTGCAGATTTCTCTGCTCTGTTCCTTCTGCTCAGCTACTCCACAATCTTTGCTCTCCACACAAACAAGTTCAACACTTTTCATTCTGTCTTAATGTTCTAAGAAGATCTGGAACCCAGAAGAAAAAGCTGCTTAGAAAATGCTCCAACAACTCTAACAGGGATAGGGGCTGGACTCTCTCCTTTGAAGGAGCTGCCAGGGTGGAGGACGCCACGTGGGCGTGGAGATACTGACGAGCCCCCGGCTGAGCTCAGCTGTTCAAAGTTGTGTCCAGTAAGCAGGGTTGGGGAGTAACGGATTACAGGTGACGGCTTTACGTAATCGGGATCCAAAACAGTAGCTGTATTCCGTTACGTGGCACACCTGAGGTAGTGTGAGCACATTTCACCTGCTTTCATACAGGTCGGTAAACTGTAAATAACCCAGAACTACTGACTTTATAACATCAGGCTTTACTAACGTGATTCTTTGTTAAGCGTTTAGAGTGTGGACGATGATTTCTGATGTGTGAAGACAGGAAGTCAGTTTGTCCTGTCAATGTTTTCTCGTGATGACGCCATGTTGGTGCTACGAATACCGGACATTTAAAGTTTATGGTGGGAAAGTGTTGTAATGGCTCCTGTTCACTGTAGATATTCCAGATGTCTGTTTGATAAGATGTTTATAATTAATATACCTTGCCAAAATGACTGACTGCAGGTACCTGAATATTGATACGTCTGTTTTCTGCTAAATCTATGGTTAGAACATGTAACATGAACATTTTCTAGTTACATTTCAGTGGACTGTGATTATTACAGAAGGTTAATGTCAGTGTTGACACATTAAAGGGGCAGTACGCCTCAGCTCAAGTTAGATTAGACGTATATTAGACGTAAATGGTAGTGTTTAGAGCAGTTACATCCTGTAAGGAGAAAAGGTCTTTAAATGACTAAAGATGTTTACTGAATGTGAAAGTCAATGGAAATGTGTTTATCACAGAAACAGTAAGTGACCAGAGTGAGAAGAGGTTTTATTGAAACGGTGAGAGTGTTAATATATGATGAAACTTTATTGGACCTGGACATTGAACTGAAATGCTCAGAACAGAAACGTGTTGTGTTGACATGATTTTGAGTTGTTTAATAAAACAACCAGAGAAGCAATCTGGAAGGAAACGAGACGCACCGTCTCTTCATTGCTGCTGTTTCACCTGCTTTCATACAGGTTACATATCTGTGACTGAGGTACCCATCCCTGGGCCCCGTAACAGGTACAGTACAGAAAATAAAGACGTCATCAGATTACAAGTACATCTGGAATTACTCATAGGGATTGCTTTAAGAAGGACGTTTCCATGACACAGAAACGCAGTGCTGTTTGCCTCCGTATATGTTTTTTATCTGCAGTCTGTGGTGTCAGGGCTTAAAGCAAGAAATTTTTCTATGCCTGAAATGTGTTTGGGGTTTACTGCAAAGATGGAGGGTGGGGGGCCAGAGCCTGACTCTGTGTTGAAAAGTGATGGGGACATAGGTGCTCAGACTAGGGGTGTCCCAGGTGAAAAAGAAATATACTTAAGTAGCACTTTTTTTGGATGCACTTATCACATTTTAATTGTACTATACTAAGTGTATATTCAATGTGTTATTTTGGACCAACTTAAAGTATGTTAAGTGTCATTTTAGAAATACTTAAAGTCATCCATCCATCGTCAACCGCTTATCCTGCGTACAGGGTCGTGGGGGGCTGGAGCCTGACTCTGTGTTGAAAAAGTGGTCGTGGGGGGCTGGAGCCAATCCCAGCTGACATCAGGCGAAAGGGACATCCTGGACAGGTCGCCAG